GTATGGTGTCAAGTTAGCACTACATACCATTTTTTCTTAAAAAACGAGAGCTACAAATTTTTTCTTTCCACAACAAATTTACAACAAAAACACTACAATTAATGCCGTAGTTAACTTTTCCAATTTCGAAAAGTGTAGTGCTAACTTGACACACGTCCAGAAGCTCTCCAAAAAAGTCCACCGAAGGGAGCAGTGAAGTATGAATCATCGTAAAGCATAGACAGACAGCAGCGGTAATACGGATCTACTCTTCTTTGTTCTAGAGTTAATTCTCAGAACCAACGCAGTTCAGTCGCATTTTCGATGATAACAGTGATCAGAAAGGCAAGCTGTTGTCTATTGTGAATAAAAAATAAAACGAAGCAAACAAAGCAAGGGAATATGGCGTCCGCGGTAGCAGAGTGAGTGTTCATAATAATAGATTGGTTTATACACGACATGTTAGTGTTTGGCCGAGCTTCTCCAGTGGCAGGCGCCTTGATGTTGTCATACAAAGGAGAGGGACCGACCAACAGTTCTACAATCCCAAGATGGTCGGTTCTACGTACCGGATTGACTCGGAGAACTCACTCCGACCAAGGACCATCACCACAGCAGCAACCCCCCAAATTTTTTGCCATGGGAGCATGACCCACCGGCAAGTCTGCTCCGTATTCTACTGGTCCGCGCCGGCATAGAACAAAATCCCGGGCCCTGGATCTGTAGTGTTTGCCACCGCAACATACACCACTCCTCAACCTCTGTCCGCTGCAACCGCTGCAACGCCTGGTGCCATCTAAAGGCATGCTCAGGTCTTCGGCACCACAGGGAGTGGAGTAACAATTTTGTTGCATCGTGCTGCAACAACCAACAAACCTGTAACTCCACACAGCCAACACCCGCCCAACCATCAACCAGTGGACCAGCCACAAGCACGCAACACAGGACATCCACCCAGGACAGATGGTTCTGCAGCGTTTGCACCAACCTGATAAGGCGCAACACAACATCGGTTAGGTGCAACGCATGCAACAATTGGTGCCACCTAAAGCGCTGCTCAGGCCTAACGCACCACCGTGAATGGAGTACTGGCTTCATTGCAGCCTGCTGCCCAGCCGCACCACAACACCCCGTGCCAACGCCACCAACAACACACACGCCGACGCAAGCACCAACCCCACCACCGGTCGCGACACCTGCGGCGAACCCACCCGGTCGGGGACCAGCACGTCAGGCTCTACAGGCACCGCAGGCACAACCACCAGCACAGGCAGCGCGCCAGTACTCGCTCACCCCACGCGTAACTATTATAAGGCCACAATCCATCAAGCTGTTGCAGTTCAATTGCAACGGACTACAAAGTAAGATCGCTGAGATAGTCGGTTTCATGAGAAGGCATAAAATCTCAGTCGCGGCGATCCAGGAGACCAAACTCCACTCCGGCTCGAGCCTTCAGAGCCAGGACGAGTTCAACGTACTCCGAAGAGACCGCCCCCGTGGCACCGGAGGCGGCATTGCCTTCATATTGCATAACGCGGTTCAATACCGGCTCATTACCCCCCGAACTGACTCCAACGATACATTCATTGAATGTCAAGGCTTGGCCATCAAGTCGGGGGATACGGAGCTGGAGATCGTCAATGTATACATACCCCCCGCCACCAGTTGCTCAGCTGGATACCACCCGAATATAAGTGCGCTACTAGAGGGTGTGAACCGGGTAGTGCTAGGCGACTTCAATGCGCACCACGAGCTCTGGCACTCCAATCTGGGCAATGACCAGCGGGGTACAATGCTCGCTGAGCAAATTGACGACTCCACGTTCTGCACTGTGAATGATGATGCCCCCACCAGGGTCGCGGGTGACTGCTATAGCTCGCCAGACATAACTATAGCAAGCGGGGGTCTGATAAACTGCATTGGATGGCAACCAGTGCTCACGCTCGCATCAGACCACCTGCCCATAGTAGTCGCCATAGACCAGCGAAGAGATTTTATGACATCCGAGAACCGGACGTTCATGAACACACGGAAGGCGAACTGGGACGGTTTCACGGAATTCACAGATCGCAAATTCAATGCTCTTCCTCTACCATCATGCGCGCGCGTAGCAGAGCGCAATATCCGCAGGATCATCAACGCAGCAGCCGCTCGCTTCATACCAGCCGGCCGGATCGCCAAAATCCGCCCAGGATTCCCCACTGAAGCGGCGGGACTCGCAGACGAGCGTGATCGAATCCGCCAGGCTAATCCAGAGGATCCCCGTATAAGAGATCTCAATAGGGACATTAGAAACCTGGTCAACGAACACAAGCGGAACAAATGGAATGAGCATTTAAAATCCTGCAACCTCTCAAGCGGAGCCAGCAAACTGTGGTCCACAGTCAAGTCCCTCTCCAATCCGACGAAGCGTAGAGACAATGTCGCTCTCACTTTCGGCACCACTACCACGTCGGATCCGCGGTCGTGCGCGCGCTTCTTCAGCCGGCAATTCATTGCACACTCAGAGAGAGACAAAACCCGCCGCAGCGTGCTACGTAAAGCACACAAACTCCGCCCCCGAGCCACACCACTGTGCTTCACCACTGAAGAGACGCAGGCAGCTGTCAACCACGCCAAGTCATCGAAGGCGTTAGGCCCAGACGGAATTTCCACGCAGGTGCTGAAAAAGCTAGGACCTGCGGGAGTCGAGTATATGACCGCCGCTTTCAACTTGTCACTGTCCACCCTGATCATCCCCGAGATGTGGAAAATGGGTAGGATCATTCCCCTCCTTAAGCCAGGGAAGAAGGCGGACGCAGGAGACTCGTACAGACCCATCTCCCTCCTATCCCCAGTGGCAAAAACCATGGAAGCACTACTCCTCCCCAACCTGACGAAGGTTCTGAAGCTAGCCGAACACCAACATGGATTCCGGAAAATGCACAGCACGACAACAGCATTAAACACCATTACCACACAGATTAGCGAGGGTCTGAACCAACGTCGACCCTGTGATAGGACGGTCCTAGTCGCTGTGGACCTATCGAAGGCTTTCGACACGGTGAACCACGCGACCCTCTGCCAAGACATCCTGGACTCGTCGCTTCCAGCTCGGACGAAACCAGCTATCTGTGTGGTCGTCAGTCATCGGTCGAATTCCGAAACGCCAAGTCTAAGCCGCGTAGAATTAAACAGGGGGTCCCCCAAGGCGGCGTACTCTCCCCGACACTGTTTAATCTTTACATGGCCAAACTCCCTCCGCCGCCAGCTGGAGTAAACTTGGTAAGCTACGCCGATGACTGCACAATAATGGCAACTGGCCCCAACATAGACAGACTTTGCGAACAAATAACCGACTATCTCACCGATCTTTCCAACTTCTTTACCGCAAGGAACCTCCAAATCTCCGCCGCAAAATCCAGCGCCACACTTTTTACAACCTGGACCAAAGAGGTGGGGCTAGAACTGGACGTCTTCGTCGATGGCGCCAAAATACCGACGACCAACCACCCTAAAATCCTAGGAGTGACGTTCGATAGCCTCTTCTCCTTCTCCGCGCACGCCACAGCCACATGCAACAAACTGCGAGCCAGGAACAAAGTCCTAAAATCGCTAGCCGGCAGCACCTGGGGAGCCAATAAAGAAACCCTGCTCGCGACCTACAAGGCAATCGGCCGGTCAGTGGCTAACTACGCGGCACCAGTGTGGACGGCGGGGACAAGCGACACCCGATGGAGGAACCTCCAAACCTGCCAGAATGCAGCTCTACGTACGGCTACAGGTTGTCATCTCATGTCGTCCGAGCATCACCTACATGAAGAAAGCCAGATGCTGGCGGTGAAAGAGCACAACACCATGCTGTCGAAGCAATACCTCGTAGGCTGTCACCGAGGGAATCACCCCAACAATGCCTTGCTTCGTAACGAACCGCCCCCACGACACGTGAGACGACACCTGCACGACTGGAAGGCGGACATTGAGCCGTACGTAGACCATCCATTCGACGCAGCAACATACAGAGCGGCGCTCAACAGCCTACACAGCGATGCGGTCAGAACGAGCCTCAGTACGCGTAATGACAACATCGTCTTAGGCGGTCGACCGCCGCCCATAGATCCAGAAGAAATAGAGCTGCCGAGAGAGACCAGGTGCACCCTACCATAACTCCGTTCTGGGTGGTGTCACCGACTCAACAGCTACCTCTCTCGGCTGAACACACAAGTGGCAAACACATGCCCTGCATGTGGGCAAGGTCCCCACGACACCCAGCACCTCTTCACGTGCACCTCCAACCCTACGACCCTGACACCAGAAGCGCTCTGGACCGCGCCTATCGACGCAGCCCGCTTTCTCGGCCTCAGGCTCACAGAGTCGGAGGATGAAGACGACACATGGCAAATCTGGGGGGTTGAGCACTGCTGCTACAACAACAACAACAACCAACAGTTCTACACCGACTCCTAAAGCCGATTTTTGTTTATGAGAAGTGGTTTTTCATGACAGAAAGGGGCAGGAGCGACCGTTATTAGAAAAGTTAGTGGTCGTAGCTGCGTTATAAAGAACAATTATCTTTGTATCAATTTAAATCTTAATAAGCAAGCGTCGTTTCTTATTATCTGGTACGCTTTAGGCTTCTAATTATACCAAAAAAGTATAATTTAATCAATAAGCATATTTTCGTCGCCAGACACATTTACACACCGCTCACACCGCTCACATTGCTATCGATGCTGCTGTTAAGTCTTCCATGTCGCTTCATCTGTAATTTTGTCATTTTTTGGCAGAATTTTGCAGTCTATATTTAGATAAATTACGTTTTGCTCGTGCCTACAGAATTAATGGAATTTCCTAAATTTGTTA